CCCCCCCCCCCCGCCCCGGTGTCCCCAGGGCCACCAGAACCCCCCCCCAAGTACTCACTATTTTGCGTACGTGACTCAGGGCGCTTCCTTCTTTGCCTTTACAGTTTTCCACTTGATAAGGGGGGGCGATAACGACTTCTTCCATCACAACTATGTTCTTCTCCTGCCATTTACAGTCTTTAATGCTGCAGGGAAAGGGGGAAAAAAATACTCAGCCTGGGGGTGGTGGTGGGGGGCTCTGCTCCCATGTTGTCCCCCAGCCTCCCTTGAAAGCCACCACCCATCCCCAGCGCAGTCCCACCACAGCCAAGGAGGTGACGTGAGTGCAGAAGCCACCTGGCATCTATCTCCTTGGTAGCCAAGCAGAGAGGGGTGTGAGCCCACGGGGACATGGCCCGCTGCATGCCAGAAGAGGCAAGATGGTGCCATTGCTTGTCCCCAAGGACCATGTGAGGGACACTTTGGCAGCGTCTCTGGGTGAGCCCAAGGCATCAGGAATGAAATTCCCTCCCCCTGGGCTATGAAACTGCCCCCCCAGGCCACGAATAGCCCCCAGGGGACTGAGACGGAGGGTGGGTGACACCGAGGAGGGGACTTACGTCTTATGTATAGTCTGGAAGAGCTGCTGCCCCTCCAGAGAGACACCAGCACTAATTGCATACGCCTGGCTCATCTTCTCCTCCTTCTCCGTCCGCGCTTTGTTGGCAAGCTGAAGTGGGGGGGGAGGGAGACAGAGAGGGAGCCTGAGCATCACCCGAGTGGCCATGAGACCCCCCGATGTGTCCCCCCCCCCATCCAGACACAACTGTCCCACTCACTAATTAAATCAGGGGAACGAGGAGCCTGCAATTTCCACCCTCCCACCACACCTTTCCCTGCAAATCCCAGAATTCCACTGGGATTTCAGGCCACTGTCCCCTGTCTGTCCCTCTCCCCAATAATTTGGGGATGTGGATGCTGTTTTTTCACATTCCCTCCCCCTTTCAGGCGGAGGGAGGAAGTCGGTTGCCGGGGGGCCAGATGCACACACATCACTTTCCCCCCTCTGCTTTTTCTGAATTAATTACTGTATTTTATTGCTGGTGACTCAAGGGCAAAACGAGCCCAGAATAATTGAGGGCTCGAGGAGCGTAAATGCCTCCGAATGGACCACACAGGAGTATGATCAACTTTATCTCTATTCCATTAAAAAAAATTAAAAAGGAGAATTATTATTTGGGAATCACAATGTCCATGTGTGTGGGGGGAGAAGCAGGATTATGCTGGCGGGGTCCTGGAGGAGAGAGGGGAACCCCCAACCCTGGCATCCCCCAATTTAACTCCCCCCCCGGCTGTGGGAGGAGCTGCTGGACCAGCCACCTTTCCCTGCTGGAGCTGCTGCAGTGGCAGAGTCACCCACGCTGGCCCTCTTCTTCCTCCTCCTCCCTGGAATGGCCTCACTCCTCAAGCCCAGCTTTCTCCATGCTGGACGGCTTCATCCCTTCCAAACCCCTCTCTGGGTAGGAAAAGGCCAAAATTCTACTGAGCGGGGGATTATTTGCTACTTTTTATAGCAAATAATGTGAACGAGGGAGTTTCCCCCCCTTGCCAGCCCCCTGACGCGGGGCAAATGCAGCCTGTCACCGTGCCCAAGTGAGCTGGGCTCGTTGCTGCAGCCTTCGGCCCCTCGCCATGTGCTCCTCAGCCTCCTGGTGACCAAGAGAAGCCTTAACAGGGGGACAGGACGCTTCCTTGGCCCCTGGCCCCTCTGAAGCTGCTCGCCCTACTCCACGTAGGAATTGCTCTCTCCAAGACCACCAGTCCGGCTTCCAAACTGGTTTGTAAGATTGGGCTCAATGTTCTTCAGTATCTTTCCTGCATCCAAGTCCTCCACATGACCACCAGTCTTTTTTGGGACCACACTGACACCACCTGAGCAGGATGGCTCCCCGAGGCCACTGTACCTGGGTCCCCAACCCTACCTGGGTCCCCAACCAGCTGCACCAAAGCCTTGGGGATATCCCTGTGAAGAGGTGGGTCACAACAGGCCACCATGAGGAGCCAGGAAACCCTGGGGAGGTGCAGATGAAGAGCAGCCCCTCACGTGCTGCCACCATGGGGAGCATCCCAACATCACTTCATCATGCCTTCCTGGATTCCTGGGATTCACAGCACCCAGCAAAGCCCCACCTCTTCCTCCTGCTTCGGGCTGGGGCACCTCAGCCCTCACCTGGAGCCAACCTCCAACACTGGGTTGTTTATTAACCACATGCCAAGATCCAAGGGCAAATGTAGGGTCCTGCACCTGGGGAGGAAGAACCCCAGGCACCAATATAGGTTAGGGGCGGATCTTCTGGAAACCACTACTGAAGAGAAGGATTTGGGAGTCCTAATGGATAGCAAACTCTCCATGAGCCAGCAATGTGCCCTTGTGGCCAAGAGGGCCAGTGGGACCCTGGGCTGCGGAGGGAAGAGTGTGGCCAGGAGGTGGAGGGAGGTCATTCTCCCCCTCTGCTCTGCACTGGTGAGGCCACAACTGGAATCCTGTGTCCGGTTCTGGGCTCCCCAGTTCAAGAGAGACAGGGAACTACTGGAGAGAGTCCAGCGAAGGGCAACAAAGATGATGGAGGGATTGGAGCATCTCCCTGATGAGGAAAGGCTGAGAGAGCTGGGGCTCTTCAGCCTGGAGAAGAGAAGGCTGAGGGGCAACCTTATTAATGCTTCCAAGTATCTAAAGGGTGGCTTGAAGGATGATGGAGCTGGACTCTTTTCAGTGGTTCCCAGTGACAGGATGAGGGGCAATGGGCACAAGCTGGAACATGGGAAGTTCCACTCCAATCTGAGGAAGAACTTCTTTCCGGTGAGGGTGCCAGAGCCCTGGAACAGGCTGCCCAGGGAGGGTGTGGAGTCCCCTTCTCTGGAGATCTTCAAGCCCCACCTGGATGCAGCCCTGAGTGATGTGCTCTGGGCAATGCTGCTTTGGCCAGGGAGTTGGACTAGAGGATCTCTAGAAGGTCCCTTCCAACCCCAACAATTCTGTGATTCCATGATGCAGGGTCCCCTTGCTCTTGCCCTTCTCCTGTGAGGGCATGTGCTCTCCCTATTCATCCCCAGACAAGAAATAAATGAGCTTCCAGCCTCCCCGATCCAAGCATTTAAAATAGCCCCTCTGGCCACGCAGCTTCATATCCCCCCTCCCCGCCCCTGCAGCGAGCACCTGAAGGTGCCAGGGCTACCGAAGAGACTTGGTGACACACACACCTTGTGCGACGACGGCGTGAATGAATGAGTCACTTCCCCATTCATGGCCCTGTGAATGATGGCAAGAAGAGCCAGTGAGGGCCACCCAGCGCCCTGCTGAGGTCCCCCAGGTGGGTGCCAGCCCCACCAGGCAGCTCCCTAGATGTCCCAGCCTCTCCAGTGACATCTGTGTCACTGGAGTGTGTGGCTATCGCTGGCAGCAGGAAGCTCCGAGCTCAGCTGTATCTCAACCAAACCACCGCCAGCCCTCACCGTGCCGGTGTGACCTCCCAGTGCCTCGCTGGTCCCTCGCCAGCAAAGTCTTCTGGTCCCAACATTTTCTCTCCACTCAGGAAAAGTCACAGTTGAGCATCTCCTGAGGATTCTGCTTGATCTCCAGGGCCTTCCAGAGCAGCAAGGGCTTGCCCCGGCACACCACAAGGATTCCCAGGTGCCAATAGCTCCTTCTCCCACTATGACCAGCATCAGCTCATCTACATTCCAGTCCTGCAGCAGCAGCAGCAGCCGACCCCAGCTCGCCTGTGCATCCACGGGAGAGGAGATGTGGGTAAGAACAATGTAGAAAACCCCTCCTGTCACTGGAGATAGGGACAAGGACACACCGGTGGCTGCACATCGGCTTTCATCCACTAAAGATACGACTTTGATTCATTATCTTTCCCCGCAGCAAATCCACAGCAATTATTTTGATGCCAGAAAGACTGAAGCCAGTATCTGAAGTCACGCAGGACCTGTGACATCCCGGCTGCGCTCCCGACGATGTCACTCGATGCAATTACAACCAATAGCCGTGTCTTTACAGCAGTTGTGTCATTTGAGACCTCCGCCAACATGCCAATCCACCCAGAAGGAACCCACAGGGCTACAGACGCCCAGATGGTGCCACCCTCACGACACCGACCTGCAGCCAGAGCCTGCCTGCCAGGAGAGGAGGTTTCCACATGGGACAAGGAGGTGACAACTGAAAAGCCCCACAGATGGACCCCACACCCGGCTTCCAGCTGTTTCACACCAGCATCGAGGGCAGCTCAGGTTCACCTTCCCTTTTTTTGACACCATCCCTGGGAATCAGAAGTGATGCCTTTCCAAAAGGACATGTGAAAAGTAGCTCCTCAAAATTCAACTGTGTGTACTTCACCACTCCTGCCCATTCCCTCACCGTTTGGCTTCACCCACAATCATTCTGTTTCTGAAGATGACCAGCATTTGCATGGAGATGGAGCTGCAGGCAGAGAGAGCACCCACCGGAGCACAAACCTTGTCCAGCATCATCCACGGGAGCACAAAAAGCACTCTAGTGCGTTCTTAACCTGGGATCTTCGAAGAGAGAGCACCCAGGAGCAGTGGCACAGGCTTGGGTAAGGAGAAAACCAGCTTCAGCCGTGCCCATCTTCTCTGGAAGGTTTTGATTTGAGCACTCTAGTCATTCGCTGTCAGGGGGAGAACCTGTTGCATGTTTATAACAGGCTCCATTCTCCCTTCTCTCTGGCCAGAGAGGAACCACGTCCCTCTACCAGAGGCACTGGGGCTGCCTCAGAGCCAGGAGGATGGAGACCACTGGACTTTTCCCAACTGAAAAGGTGGTTTGCAGCCTCAAAGTCACTTAAAAAACACCCCAGAGGCTGAAATCCTCTGCCAGTGTTTCAGGCAGCAACGTGCACCCACTTGCCAGCACATAAACCCACATTTACTCCTGCCACAGGAGCGGGGTACCCAGTGGAGTGGCCTCTGAGGACAGCACAGGGCTTGGCACAGGACAGAGCTGCTCAGCAGTGCTTTAACCAGAGACTGCAGTGTCACCTGGGCACTTAAATCATAGAACAGCATCATGGAATGGTTTGGGTTGGAAAGGACCTTAAAGATCATCCAGTTCCAACCCTCTGCCCTGGGCAGGGACACCTCCCACCAGACCAGGTTGCTCCAAGCCACCTCCAACCTGGCCTTGAACCCCTCCAGGGATGGGGCAGCCACAGTTTCTCTGGGCAGCCTGGACCAGGCTCTCACCACCCTCACAGCAAAGAAGTTCTTCCCCACATCTCAGCTCCATCTCCCCTCTTTCAGTGTCAAACCCTTCCCCCTCGTGCTGTGGCTCCCCTCCCTGATCCAGAGTCCCTCCCCAGCTTTCCTGGAGCCCCTTTAGGGACTGGAAGGGGCTCTAAGGTCTTCCTGAAGCCTTCTCTTCTCCAGGCTGAACCCCTCCAACTCTGTCAGCCTGTTCTCCCAGCAGAGGGGCTCCAGCCCTCCCAGCATCTCTGTGGCCTCCCCTGGCCCTGCTCCAACAGCTCCATGTCCTTCTGACGTTTGGTGGCTCCAGAGCTGGAGCCAGCACTGGGGGGCGTCTCCCCAGAGTGGAGCAGAGGGGTAGAATCCCCCCCTCACCCTTCTGGCGACGCTGCTGGAGATGCAGCCCCGGGTGAAGGAGGTTTCTGGGCTGCCACTGTATGTTGCCAGGGCATGTTGAGCTTCTCATCCACCCCCCAAGTTCTTCTCCCTCAGGGCTGCTTCTTCAGCCATTCTTTGCCCAGCCAGGATTTGTGCTTGGAATTACCCCAACCCAGGGGGAGGACCTTGCACTTGGCCTGGTTGAACTCCAGGACGTTGGCACAGTTCCACCTCTCCAGACTGCCCAGGTCCCTCTGGACCACGCTGAGCAAATACACCATAAATACAGACCAAAGGGTTGCGCAGGCACCCAGGGGAGCAGAGGGCAGCAAGAGGACTGGGTTCCCAGGGGGGCATAGCACCCCAGCCCCTCGCTCAGACCACCTCCTGGATAAAATGAAGCTGGAAGCTTCCTCACCGAGCAATCCTGGAACAGAGAGGACCAGCCAGCTGCCGCCTTGCTACAGAAACCCCACCAGCAGGTCATGGAGATTCAACACATCCAAAATATCAACATCTAAACCCTTAACAGAGCCGCATTAAGTCAGGATTGAAGCGGGTGATTTAAAGTTTAAAAGCTACCTCCCCACGCAAATCCCTCCCTCCCAGGAGCAAACAATTCCAAGCCCAGGAGGGCAGGTTCTTACCTTGCTAACATTGAGTGAAGCTAAAGGAGGAGGCGTTTCCGTGCGGTCATTAATTATTTCCACTTCTGAGACATACTGTAAGTTTACAAGCAGGATATCTGCGTGATTAGGCTTTCCACTGGAAGAGGGGCATTCTGGAGGAGGGGGGGGAAACATTAAGGAAAACAAATCCAGACGGAGACATTTACAGAGTTGTCCAGAAGCAAAACCAGGAGAATATTTGTTTTTCAGCGAGTTTCTCCACTACCCCTGTCCCTCCTCACCCAAGCACAGGGTCACTCGTGAGACCCCAACAATGTCAACCATCTCTTCTTGGACCTATTTGATGTGAACTCAGTTTTCCTGATGATAGCACAAGTTTTCCAGCCAATAAACCACTGCACCCAACACACACAGAGCCTGGGATGCTGCGTGGCCTCCTCTGAAAAAGCAATTCAGGCCCAAATAGCCACAGAGGTGCTGCCGCCAGGGCCCCCAGTTCTTCTCCACTCACCACAAACACCAGCCAAGGAACTGGTCTGCACAGGGAAGTGAACCAGAACAGCCACCGCGCCTCAAATTTGCACCTTTTATACCATAACTATTTCCTCTTGCAGGCAGCGGATAAGCCTGAGCGTCCCCAGGAGCGCGGATAGAAGAAGAGCTTCTCAGCAGCTCCCTGGGAAAGGCCTCCTCATCCTCTCAGCCAGGTTTGTCGTGGTGGGTATCGCAGCACGACTGGAAAGTGTAAATGAGACAAACAGTGCACCACCCCCAGAAAAAAAAAATAAAAAAAAAATCAACCCTTCCAGAGCTGACATTAATTCCTGCGCAATCTGTTCCCCGGGAGGCTGCGTTGTTAGCCCTCCGCTCCCTCGGAGGTTGGAAGGAGCAGAGAGGATGGCATGGAGAGCCCCTTCCATGCCAACGCCATCTCCTCCTGGGAAGAGATGCTCCTGGAGGTCACTTTTCCTCTCCTCCTGCCCCCGCCCCGAGCCCAGCCGAGCAGGTGAAGCCCTCCCTAGCAAACGCCTTTCGATAAAGGAGAGAAAAAAAGGAGAGATTCCCAAGGAAATCCTCCAGTCTCTTCCTCGGGGAGGATGAGATGGAGCATCCCAGCTTTGGGAGGAAGAGCCAGACTTGGGGCAAAGCCAGAAAGGGAGCTCTCAGCCCTCTCCAGAGCAGAGCGGCAGCGCCACAGCACTAAGCCAACCTGTTGGATATCATTTGAAGACTTTCCTGTAGCCTCTACCGGGGCCTGGGGAGCCTCTCTCCCTACCAAAATTGCACCAGAACAGGAGCTCAGCCCCGGACAATGTCCCCAGCGCACCCACAGAACTGCATCACACCCAAGCACCCTTTTCCTATCACATTTCTCAACGTTGCACACTCCAGACGTGAATCCTTCTCAAGGGGCTCCTCCATCGCTCCCTCTGGTACCCTCCCCAGTCCCTTCACATCCCCAGTTCCCTTCCAACGCCAGTCCCTGGGCTCAGCATCCGCCCTCCCCAACTCCCCACAGTCTCTCTGCTCTTCTCCAACAGCCCTTTGCTTTCACCTGACTCACAGGTTAAAAAGAAAAATGCACCCTTTTTTTTTTTTCTTATGCATATATATATATATATATATATCTATCTTACCCCCCCGAGCATGTGTGTGTATATATATATATATGTAACTATATTTTAACCCTCCTAGAGGGTTAATGTAAACTGCATTCCTGCCCCTCCTTCATGCAACGCTCAGGGCAGCCCCAGACCTCCTATCCCCTTCGCCCCCTAAAACCTG